CTTGCATTGTTCTTTCTTCTGCAGAGTTTCTAAAGGGTGGGGTTGTTGACAAGATTAGGGTGTGTGCAGGGTCTCCTAATCTTGAAGTGCTTCTCTGGTCCCTTTAATCTTGCCTCAGGTGGCTTCCTGGCTGCTCCCCCCCTTGATTATCAACTGTTCGAATCTGCCCTTTGGAACTCAGGGAAGGTCATGGAGGCTGGAGTCTTGCCTATAAGAAATGGGGGACAAAAAGGCCTCCATGCCTGGGAGCCCCATAGGGCCCTGCTCGGTTTCAACATTAGTAGGTGTTAGTCACATTGCATCATTATTACTTTATTCAGCCTTCCTCACTAATATGTGCTGTAGGCATCTCTGTCAAATCACAGATATCAAGACTCTAGAGCAGCAGTTGGCAGATGTTTTCTGTATAAAGGACCAGAGAGTAAAGACTTTCAGCTTTATGGGCCTTATGGTCTGTGTCTTAGCTGCTCAACCTTGTTGTTATGTGTGAAAGCAGCTGTGGACAGGATGCAAAGGAATGGTCCTGACTCTGTTCCTGTTAAACTTTATAAAAGCAGGAGATAGGCCTGATTTGCCTGTAGGCTAGAGCAAGGTTCATGGACTTGAATGCCTGTCGGGGCTAGGCAGGTACTGCAAAAGAGTCACGTGGCTGACTGGGGACTGCCACTAGTGCCTTGTCTAAAACGGGCAGCTACTTCTTACCTACAGCCACTTGTGACTGCCCCAGTGATATCTGAGCTTATAATTCAAGAGTAGCTGGAAACTGGTATTTTTACACAAAGCCCTTTTATCAGTGGGCAACTAACATTAGATTTGTTCAGAAAATATAGTAAAGGTCAAGCTATATATCTTCGTGAGCTCTTTTCTGCTCCATAGGATCTAGTTTTGCAAATTCTGGTATTTTCAGGTGTAACTGTGTATTATGTATAACTATATATTATGTACAGGAACTTCCTGGAAAATGTCATCAGGCATGGACAGCAAATATCTAGTTCTGATGCTGCTACCTCCCTTCAAGTGCCTGTGACAGACATCAGTAATCAATCATACCACTCTTTCCTGCTGAGCCTAGAGAAAATTTTAGACTGATTCTACACCAGTCCTCAGAAAAGCCACAACCAGTGAATTCATTGTGTCCTCTGATATATAAGGTATTTGACACTCCTGTTCCAGAGGACTCTCTTTAAAATGTTTTTGGGATTCACCTGGCTTTGGACTTTTTAATTCTATGACTTTAAAGAAATCTAGCTGAAAATTGCTCTTAACTAAAGAGTATTTGAGAAAATATGTATCAGAAATAACGCATATGACAAAAGGTAAGATTCTGTTACTGTGGCAGAATTTATTTTATTGAATAAATTTATTTATTTATTTTTGGCTGCATTGGGTCTTCATCGTGGTGCGCAGGCTTCTCATTGTGGTGGCTTCTCTTGTTGTGGAACAGAGGCTCTAGGTGCGCGGGCTCAGTAGTTGTGGCGCACAGGTTTAGTTGCTCCACCGCATGTGGGATCTTCCCGGACCAGAGCTTGAATCCGTGTCCCTTGCATTGGCAGGCAGATTCTTAACCACTGTGCTGCCAGGGAAGTCCCAGATTTTAGATTCAAACTTAGAGAATTGAAGATCTCCACAGTTGCATGTGTCCGTAAAGGTTCTGGTAGCATTCCGTCTTTGAAGAGACCATGAACTTGGATTTCTGGTCTGATTTTTTTTCACCATACCTATGCAAAGTAATGGGAGCAAATAGTTATAAAGGGGAGTTTCTTTTTCCTTTCTCTTACTGCCTCTGACCCTGGTGCACAGTTACTGGAGAGTAAGATGTTCAGAATTTAGGGACTCTGTATGAGAACATGTGCCATCTGGGAGCACATACCTTTGGATTGTGTATGTGGCATGCACCTGATGCAGCCTAAGTAAAACATGCTTTATTGTCCATTTTGATGGCATAAAACTTTACATCTTTTGTACTCTGCCCTCTGTGAGTCTAAACCGTACTTGTCTCTCAAGTTTGATCTTCTCCAAGAATTCTGCTCTACCCATTCTAATCCTCATTGAACCTGCCTCTTCTCTAGATTTCTTTAATATTGAGAACTGTCCTAATTTAGCAGTGTCACGCTTTATTACATTATTTGATTTAATTTGCATTTGTTTCCTCCCCCCATAATTAACATTTTCTTTTCCTGCCATCTAGCGTAGTAAGGACCGTGAATGGTGTGAACTGAAAGAACATTTTGTTTTTAAGCAGGCAATTTAGTACAGATGTTCATTGGATGCTTTTTATATGCCAGTCACTGGGGCTCTAAATGTGGATGAAACAGAAAAATGGACCCTGCCCTTGAAGACCAGAGTCTAGTGGATTAAAGTCTAATGGAATTTAAAATGTTCCCTTTTTTAGTAATCAGTGATGAACATTTACAGCTCCCCTGGAAGGAAAGCTCCCCTGGGCCTAGGTCTTTGTTTCATTTACTGATATACCCCAAGTGCCCAGGTCAGTGCCTTGTATACAGTAACTGCTCAGTAAATATTTCTTAGGTGAACTTTTACAAGTTTTTATGTAAGTGCAGGACTCTTAGTGTAGGTGAACCATAGTGTCTGCCTTCCACTTCCTTTACGTCTCTCCCACTCCTCATCCCAGCCACGTAGTTCTCTGCCCAGAAAAGTCAGCCTTGACTTTCCTTCCAGAAATATTATATGTACGTATACGTACGTGTGTGTGTTTGTACTTCTTACACAGATTATAGCCTATGCCTTTCTTTCCCTTAAAAATATATCAGATAGTTCTCTATCAGTGCATACTCATGTTACTTTTAGTGGCTGTATAGTATTGATTACTCAGACATTTCATAATTTATTAAACCAGAAACTTATTGATGGGTATTTAGGTTATTCTGATCTTTTGCTCTTATACACAGTATTACGGTAAATATCCTCACTCAAGTTGTGACCTCTGCAAGTAGGAATATTAGTATACATTCCTAAAGGTGGAATTGTGGAATTCTTATAAGTTCAAAGGGTTTATGTATTTGTAATTTTGATAGGAATTGCCAAATAGTCTTCTACAGAGAATATGAGTGTGCCATTTTGCTGCACTCTGACTAACACCATATTTTATCAAAGTGCTTGATTTTTTTGTGATCTGATAGGTGAAAAATATCAATTATGGCTTTGTATTTCTCTTACATAAATAAGTTTGAACATCATTTTATATGTTTACAAACTCATTTCATTTTATGTGTTCTGTCGTTAAAACTTTTGCCCATTTTTCTATGTGATAATTGATCTTTATCTTATTGATGTGTAGGAGCTCTTTGTATAGTTAAAAAAAAAATTCCATGTCTGTGCTTGCTTGTTTATATTTCTATGTGAATTAGAGAATCAGCTTGTCTAGTGACCTGCCCCACTCACCTAAAAAATCAATCCTGTTGGTATTTTTGTTGTGTTTGTGTCAAATTTATAGGTGGTTTAGGGAGAACCGGCATTTCCATGATGTTTCGTCTTATTTCCCAGGAACATAATATGTCTTTACATTTGTTTAAGTGAGTCATTGTTGTGATAAAGGGCATTGTCTTAACTTTGGGACTGTTTCTAATGTTTCCCTATTAAAATATGCTGGCTTTGGGATTGAGATAGATCTGTATTGTATCATGTTAAGGAACTAGCCACCCATTGCTATCTTATTGAGGTTTTTACCATGAAAGGATATATTTTGTCACATACATTTGTGTAATTCTGGTGACTCACATATCTGTTGTTTGTTTGTTTTCATCTATGAATATGATGAATTTTAAGTATAGACTTTTGCATAATGAACTATCCTTGTACTCATGGAATAAGTTCTACTTGGTCATGGAAAGTTATCCTTTTAATATGCTGCTGGATTTGGAGTCTGTTTTCTTATATAGATCTTCCATGACCTACTGGGGTTATCGCCCAATAAGCCCATTGTGAGTTGAAAATATAAATCACAGCTGCATTTAATACACCTAACCTACCGAACATCATAGCTTAGCCTAGCCTGCCTTAAACCTGCTCAGAATGCTTACATTAGCCCACAGCTGAGCAAAATCATCAGACACGAAGTATATTGTAACAGAGTGTTGAATATCTCATGTAACTTATTGAATATTGTACTGAAAGTGAAAATGAGAATGGTTATATGGGTACAGAATGGTTGTAAGTGTATTAGTTCTCCACCCTTCTGATCACGTGGCTGACTTGGAGCTGCCTGTGCCCAACATCACAAGAGAGTATTGTTCTGCATGTCGCTAGCCTGGGATAGGATGAAATTCAAAATTCGAAGTATGGTTTTGACTGAATGAATGTTGCTTTTACACCATTGTGAAGTTGAAAAATCGTTAAGTTGGGGACCATCTGTACTGTATTTAAGAAATATGCATTGATTTTCAGATGTGAGACTGGTGTGTGTGTGTGTGTGTGTGTGCGCGCACACACATGCGTGTGCTTGCTTTGGAGTTTGATACGTATTTTGTCTTTATGAAAAGAATTTGAACACTTTTCTTTTTCTGTGCTCTTGAACAATTTACAGTGGATTGAAATTACCCACTTCTTAATTTTTTGATAGAATTCTCCTTTGCAGCTCTCTACTCCTGTGTTCTTTGACAACTACCCCTATACCTTCTTTGGCTTTTTTTTAGCTTTTCTACCTCTTCTGGGGTCAATTTTGGTCATTAATGTTTTCCTAAAAACCTATCCAGATTTTCTAATTTAGTTACATGGAATTGCACAAAATAATCTTCTTTCATTTTCTTTGGTATGTGTGGTTATTTCCTCACCATTTTCAGATTTTTTTGATTAAAAAATAAATGACATGTTAACAATATTCTAAAGAATGTGTTTTTTAAAAAAAATATGACGTAAAAAGAGTATATAGTTCACTTATCCATATTTTATTAAAACCTCAGTTATTCCTAAGGTAACTGTTATGAAACCCAGAACTTTAGATGAAACATTTCCATTCTGACAACTCTCTTCTCTTTTGACAGACCCTGAAGAGGAAAGTGAGGATGACCCTCAACTCGAAGGCAGAGATCCTGATATTTGGCACGTTGGTTTTAAGATCTCATGGGACATAGAGACACCTGGTTTGGCGATACCCCTTCACCAAGGAGACTGCTACTTTATGCTTGGTAATTGGGAGGATCAAAGCTATACTGATGCTCTAGTGTCTAGGTTTTAGGTTATTGGGTACATATTTTGCATATGTCTTTTGAAATAAACTTTTCAGGTTTTTTATAGTGATAAGAAAACATCTACATGTGACTAGGTTTTCTTAAAAGATACTGCTAATTTTTATTTTCATCTTTTTCAATTTTATTTTATTTTTTATACAGCAGGTTCTTACTAGTTATCTATTTTATACATATTAGTGTATATATGTCAATCCTGATCTCCCAATTCTCCACCACCACCACCACCCCGTCACTTTTCCCCCTTGGTGTCCATACATTTCTTCTCTACATCTGTGTCTCTATTTCTGCCTTGCAAACCGGTTCATCTGTACCATTTTTCTAGATTCCACATATATGCATTAATATACGATATTTGTTTTTCTTTCTCTGACTTACTTCATTCTGTAGGACAGTCTCTAGATCCATCCACGTCTCTACAAATGACCCAATTTAGTTCCCTTTTATGGCTGAGTAATACTCCATTGTATATATGTACCACATCTTCTTTATCCATTCGTCTGTTGATGGGCATTTAGGTTGCTTCCATGACCTGGCTATTGGAAATACTGCTGCAATGAACATTGGGGTGCATGTGTCTCTTTGAATTATGGTTTTCTCAGGGTATATGCCCAGGAGTGGGATTGCTGGGTCGTATGGTAATTCTATTTTACTTTTTTAAGGACCTCTATACTGTTCTCTGTAGTGGTTGTATCAATTTACATTCCCATCAACAGTGCAAGAGGGTTGCCTTTTCTCCACACCATCTCCCGCATTTGTTGTTTGTAGATTTTCTGATGATGCCCATTCTAACTGGTGGGAGGTGATACCTCATTGTAGTTTTGATTTGCATGTCTCTAATAATTCGTGATGTTGAGCAGCTTTTCATGTATGTCTTGGCCATCTGTATGTCTCCTTTGGAGAAATGCCTATTTAGGTCTTCTGCCCATTTTTTGATTGGGTTGTTTGTTTTTTTAATATTAACCTGCATGAGCTGTTTATACATTTTGGAGATTAATCCTTTGTCCATTGATTCATTTGCACATATTTTCTCCCATTCTGAGAGTTGTTTTTTCATCTTGTTCATAGTTTCCTTTGCTTTGCAAAAGCTTTTAAGTTTCATTAGGTCCCATTTGTTTATTTTTGTTTTGATTTCCATTACTCTAGGAGGTGGATCAAAAAAGATCTTGCTGTGATTTATGTCAAAGAGTGTTCTTCCTATGTTTTCCTCTAAGAGTTTTATAGTGTCCGGTCTTACATTTAAGTCTTTAATACTTTTTGAGTTTATTTTTGTGTAAGGTGTTAGGGAGTGTTCTAATTTCATTCTTTTACATGTAGCTGTCCAGTTTTCCCAGCACCACTTATTGAAGAGACCGTCTTTTCTCCATTGTATATCCTTGCCTCCTTTGTCATAGAATAGTTGACCATATGTGCGTGGGTTTATCTCTGGGCTTTCTATCCTGTTCCATTGATCTATATTTCTGTTTTTGTGCCAGTCCCATATTATCTTGATTACTGTAGCTTTGTAGTATTGTCTGAAGTCAGGGAGTGTGATTCCTCCAGCTCCGTTTTTTTCCCTCAAGACTGCTTTGGCTATTTGGGGTCTTTTGTGTCTCCATACAAATTTTAAGATTTTTTTGTTCTAGTTCTATAAAAAATGCCATTGGTAATTTGATAGGGATTGCACTGAATCTGTAAATTGCTTTGGGTAGTACAGTCATTTTCACAGTATTGATTCTTCCAATCCAAGGACATGGTATATCTCTCTGTCTGTTTGTGTCATCTTTGATTTCTTTCACCAGTGTCTTATAGTTTTCTGAGTACAGGTCTTTTACCTCCTTAGGTAGGTTTATTCCTAGGTATTTTATTCTTTTTGTTGCAATGGTAAATGGGATTGTTTCCTTAATTTCTCTTTCTGATCTTGTGGTGTTAGTGTATAGGAATGCCAGAGATTTCTGTGCATTAATTTTGTATCCTGCAACTTTACCAGATTCATTGATTAGCTCTAGTAGTTTTCTAGTGGCATCTTTAGGATTCTCTATGTATAATATCCTGTCATCAGCAGTGACAGTTTTACTTCTTCTTTTCCAACTGGATTCATTTTATTTCTTTTTCTTCTCTGATTGCTGTGGCTAGGACTTCCAAAACTATGTTGAATAATAGTGGTGAGAGTGGACATCCTTGTCTTCTTCCTGATCTTAGAGGAAATGCTTTCAGTTTTTCACCATTGAGAATGATGTTTGCTGTGGGTTTGTCATATATGGCCTTTATTATGTTGAGGTAGGTTCCCTCTATACCCACTTTCTGGATAGTTTTTATCATAAATGGATGTTAAATTTTGTCAAAAGCTTTTTCTGCATCTGTTGAGATGATCATATGGTTTTTATCCTTCAGTTGTTGACATGGTGTATTACATTGATTGATTTGCATGTATTGAAGAATCCTTGCATCCCTGGGATAAATCCCACTTGATCATTGTGTATGATCCTTTTAATGTGTTGTTGGATTCTGTTTGCTAGTATTTTGTTGAGGTTTTTGCATCTATATTCATCAGTGATATTGGTCTGTAATTTTCTTTTTTTATAGTATCTTTGTCTGGTTTTGGTATCAGGGTGATGGTGGCCTCATAGAATGAGTTTGGGAGGGTTCTCTTTTTCTTGATGAGTCTGGCTAAAGGTTTATCAATTTTGTTTATCTTCTCAAAGAACCAGCTTTTAGTTTTATTGATCTTTGCTATTGTTTTCTTTGTTTCTATTTCATTTATTTCTGCTCCGATCTTTTTTTTTTTTAATTTTATTTATTTATTTATGGCTGTGTTGGGTCTTCGCTTCCGTGCGAGGGCTCCCCCTAGTTGTGGCAAGCGGGGGCCATTCACCATCGCGGCCTCTCTTGTCGCGGAGCACAGGCTCCAGACGCGCAGGCTCAGCAATTGTGGCTCACGGGCCCAGTTGCTCTGTGGCACGCGGGATCTCCCCAGGCCAGGGCTCGAACCCCTGTCCCCTGCATCGGCAGGCAGACTCTCAACCATTGCGCCACCAGGGAAGCCCTTCTGCTCTGATCTTTATGATTTCTTTCCTTCTACTAACTTTGGGTTTTGTTTGTTCTTCTTTCTCTAGTTCCTTTAGGTGTAAGGTTAGATTGTTTATTTGAGATTTTTCTTGTTTCTTGAGGTAGGCTTGTATTGCTATAAACTTCCCTCTTAGATCTGCTTTTGCTGCATCCCATAGGTTATGGATCGTCGAGTTTTCATTGTCATTTATCTCTAGGTATTTTTTGATTTCTTCTTTGATTTCTTCAGTGATCTCTTGGTTATTTAGTAACATAGTGTTAGTCTGCATGTGTTTGTGTTTTTTACATTTTTTCCCTGTAATTGATTTCTAATCTTATAGCATTGTGGTTGGAAAAGATGCTTGATATGATTTCAGTTTTCTTAAATTTACCAAGGCTTGATTTATGACCCAAGATGTGATCTCTCCTGGAGAATGTTCCGTGCGCACTGGAGAAGAAAGTGTAATCTGCTGTTTTGGAGTGGAATGTCCTATAAATATCAATTAAATCTATCTGGTCTGTTGTGTCATTTAAAGTGTGTGTTTCCTTATTAATTTTCTGTCTGGATGATCTGTCCATTGGTGTAAGTGAGGTGTTAAAGTCCCCCACTATTACTGTGTTACTGTTGATTTCCTCTTTTATAGCCATTAGCATTTTCCTTATGTATTGAGGTGCTCCTATGTTAGGTGCATATATATTTATAATTGTGATATTTTCTTCTTGGATTGATCCCTTGGTCATTATGTAGTGTCCTTCCTTGTCTCTTGTAACATTCTTTATTTTAATAAAGTCTGTTTTATCTGATATGAGTATTGCTACTCCAGCTTTCTTTTGGTTTCCATTTGCATGGAATATCTTTTTCCATCCCCTCACTTTCAGTCTGTATGTTTCCCTATGTCTGAAGTGGGTCTCTTGTAGACAGCATATATATGGGTATTGTGTTTGTATCCATTCAGTGAACCTGTGTTTTTTGGTTGGAGCATTTAATCCATTCACGTTTAAGGTAATTATCGATATGTATGTTCCTATTACCATTTTCTTAATTGTTTTGAGTTTGTTTTTTTGTTTTGTTTTGTTTTTTGCTTTTTTGTTTTTTTTGCGGTATGGGGGCCTCTCACTGTTGTGGCCTCTCCCATTGCGGAGCACAGGCTCCGGATGTGCAGGCCCAGCGGCCATGGCTCACGGGCCCAGCTGCTCCGCGGCATGTGGGATCCTCCCAGACCGGGGCACGAACCCGTGTCCCCTGCATCGGCAGGCGGACTCTCAACCACTGCGCCACCAGGGAAGCCCTTGGGTTTGTTTTTGTAGGTCCTTTTCTTCTCTTGTGTTTCCCACTTAGAGAAGTTGCTTTAGCATTTGTTGTAGAGCTGCTTTGGTGGTGGTGTATTCTCTTATCTTTTGCTTGTCTGTAAAGCTTTTGATTTCTCTGTTGGATCTGAATGAGATCCTTGCTGGGTAGAGTAACCTTGGTTGTAGGTTCTTCCCTTTCCTCACTGTAAATATGTCGTGCCACTCCCTTCTGGCTTGTAGAGTTTCTGCTGAGAAATCAGCTATTAACCTTATGGGAGTTCCCTTGTATTTTACTTGTCGTTTTTCCCTTGTTGCTTTTAATAATTTTTCTTTGTTTTTAATTTTTATCAGGGTGGTTACTGTGTGTTTCAGTGTGTTTCTCCTTGGGTTTATCCTGCCTGGGACTCTCTGGGCTTCCTGGACTTGGGTGGCTGTTTCCCTTCCCATGTTAGGGAAGTTTTTGACTATAATCTCTTCAAATATCTCCTCAGGCCCTTTCTCTCTCTCTTCTCTTTCTGGGACTCTATAATGCGAATGTTGGTACGTTTAATGTTATCCCAGAGGTCTCTTAGGCTGTCTTCATTTGTTTTCATTCTTTTTTCTTTATCCTGTTCCGTGGCAGT